CCGGCCACATGACCACAGAAACGTCTTCGGACAGCGCTGGCTCTTCGGCTTGGAAACGGAGATGAGCACCGCAACCCTAGAGTCGGACTCGACTGGCTTTCGAGCAAGGGAGAACTTTACCTTTTACCATACTAAACATGCCAAATTATCTATTGTCTGCAGCCAGGCTCTACGCTGCAGCTGCATCTGTTCCAATTCCGCAGACAGAGATTCTAACGTGAGGGACCTACAACAGGCCATTTTGGAACTAAAATGCCCACGTGGTGAAGTCAAGAAAAACAGATTAACGAAGCCAGAAGGATACCCAGAGACAGCCTGTTACAAAACTGAGCCCAAAGAAACAATAACAGAAGAGAGGAGAGCGCAAAAGTGGGCTTGAAGCTCAACATCAAAAAAACTAAGATCATGGCATCCGGCCCCATCACTCCTTGGCAAATAGAAGGGGAAGTCGTGGAAGTAGTGACAGACTTCACATTCCTGGGATCCCAGATCACCATAGACTGTGACAGCAGCCATGAAATTAAAAGATGCCTGCTCCTTGGGAGGAAAGCGATTGTGAACCTAAACAGCATGATAAAAAGTAGAGACATCACCCTGCCAACAAAAGTCCGCATGGTCAAAGCAATGGTATTCCCAGTAGTCATGTATGGCTGCGAGAGTTGGACTATAAGGAAGGCCGAGCGCCGAAGAATAGATTCTTTTGAACTATGGTGCTGGAGAAGACTCTTGAGAGTCCCTTGGACTGCAAGAAGATCAAATCAGTCAGTTCTAAAAGAAATCAACTAAAATGCCCACGTGATGAAGTCAAGAAAAACAGATTAACAAAGCCAGAAGGATACCCAGAGACAGCCTGTTAGAAAACAGGGCCCAAAGAAACAATAACAGAAGACCACTAAGTAGTCACATACAGGTCTCAACCAATGCTCCCTCTAAGCCATGGAGTCTTGTGTGCAAAAATCCTACTTTGTGAGCTCCTGGCATTAAAGCTGTGAGCGAGCAGTTTGGCTCCTGCATAAATTAGCTTTCTCTGGAGCCATCCTTCCTGAGCGAAAACAAAAACGTGTGATCTGGAGGCTAAAAACCTGTGAGCTAGCTCACACTAACTCAGCTTAGAGGGAGCATTGGTCTCAACTGAAAACAGTTCAACGCGTCATCAGCCTCTACTGAATGATGACAGCTTTCTTTCACAAGCACTGGGGAGGGGGGGCAAACCTTTTCTTCCATACAGATAGCTCCCCCCAGTCTTAAACATCTCCTCACCTACAATAACACAGCACCTAACTTGAACATGGACACGAGTATCAGAGCTTGCAGTAAACCCAGATGCCAACTTTGCTGCTGCATACACCCAGACGATGCGATCGCTGGACCTAACAACATCAACCACCACACCATCTCAGCTTCATTCACTTGCTCATCTTCTAACATTGTATATGCCATTAAATGCCAACAATGCCCTTCCATTCTCTGCATAGGGCAAACTGGTCAAACCCTATGCCCAAGGATAAATGGACACAAATCTGACATCAGGAATCACAAGACTGAGAAACCTGTTGATGAACACTTCAGTCTTCCAGGGCATTCAATGGGTGACCTCCAATGCTCCCTCTAAGCTGTGGAGTCTTGTGAGCAAAAATTCTACTTTGTGAGCTTCTGGCATTAAAGTTGTGAGCAAACAATTTGGCTACTGCATAAATTAGTTGGCTCTGGAGCCATGCTTCCCGAGCTAAGACAAAATGTGAGCCAGAGGCTAAAAAACTGTGAGCTCGCTCACACTGACTCAGCTTAGAGGGAACACTAGTGACCTCATAGTAGCTGTTTTAATGCAAAGGAACTTCGGGAACAGACTGGAAAAGGAGATGGCTGAATTACAAGTTATTACAACGTTTGGAACAACACCCCCACCCCTTAACAGAGCTCTCACTACATATGCTAACCTCATTGAGTTCTTATATCTGTATTCTCACCAAGAAAGGGCTATACATCCTCTTTATTTTATTGTATTTCTTATTTAGAATAGTACATTGGCATAGTGATTGTAATGTAATGAATAGCAGAATGTAATGGTAGATCGAAATATATTTCTCTGGTCTGGTGACAGAGGAGATATAACACTGCACAACCAGTCACTCCACGTCAAAGAAAAGGATGCTGCTAGTTACCTCTATGCTTGGGAGGAGATGGATAGAGTTTAACAACAGGGTCTCAGTTAATTACTCTCAGAATCCCACAATTAAGAAGGGTACATTTTACACATCAGTCTCCCAATTCTGATAAATTTATTTGCTTCACAATGTGTGTCCCCGTCCCTCCCCCGGACTTAAATCCAAACAACTGGTGACTATATAAACTAAGCTTGTTATTCCTGTTTGATCCTTGCATCTGTTAAACACTTCATAATGTTGTAAGCTAATTTGCTGCTCACCTATATGTATAGACTGGTAACTTCCATTTCACTGTATCTGAAGAAGTGTGTGTGAATAAAACATCTTAAAGGTGTCCCTAGACTCGAATTTTGTTCTATAGATTACTTCTATTTCCATATTTTAAATTCCAAATAATTGTAGAAAAGAGCTAGAGTCCAGTAGCTTCTTAAAGGCTAATAAAATATGTGGCAGGATATAAGCTTTCATGAGTCACTACCAGGGCTGGCTCACCCGCTAGGCAAACTAGACGTTCGCCTAGAGCGTGGGCCCTGGATAGGGGCGGCAAACTGCTGCCCTTACCCCTGCCAAAAGCCCCCCCTGCCCCCAAGCGAGTCCTGGGCGCCGCAGGGGCGGAGGAGTGGCTCCTGCCGCGGGCTTGGGTGGAGAGAAGCGCGCCTGTGGCGCCTTCCCTCCAGCCCCAGGCTGAAGGGACTCGCTACCGCCAGCAGCGGGACCCCGGCCTGGGTGCAGGAGGCGACGTCGCAGCTCACCTGCCCTCCCTCACCGGGAGGTTAGCATCTGCGCTACAAGGCAACCTCGCCTAGGGTGCAGGAACACCTCAAGCCGGCCCTGGTCACTACTCACTTTTTCAGATACAGCTAGAATGGGCATCTGTCCTATTAATTGGAAAGGGGAGTGATTTCAGATGCCAAATGGTTGTCCAAATAATTGTTTACCACTAAGTTTGTTGTTTCAGCTTTCGAATTTTCCTATTTGCCTCTTGGCAAATAAGATACAGTTACTTGCCATGGAGGTGCTGCAATATTGCATATATTTAATTTCCTCATTGTTCTTTCATGGCACCTCAAAATACAAGGAGACATTGCTTCTGTACTTACTTCCTTTTTACTGTCCCTCTTTCCCCTGCTCCTCTGCTTGAAGTCAGATTTGAAGATCTTTTCCTTGCGTGACTAGTATATTTCTTTTCCCCCCCAGGTGTATGAAGAGTGTGATTACAGGCGGGTTCGATTTGTTGGAAGGCAAAAAGAGGTGAATTCTGCATGGGGTTGCATTTATCTTGATTTTATTTTCTGTAATAGTGATGATATTCATTGATTTCAGTGGTCAGTTTCAGTTTTGTGAGCAAACATCTCAGTCCACATTTCAGTGAATGAATTTGGACTGTGGGCATATAAAGATAACGTTATTTCTTGCTTGTTGCTTATATCCGGCCTGTTTTTCCATCACAGAACATAATTCCCGGGAAGTCTTCCATCTAGCCCCCGACTATACCTGGACCTGCTTAGCTCTCGCTCTGACTCAGACTGTGGGCCTCCTCTGGGCTTGATCCGATTACTAACCCATTCATGGGTGTGGTATCAGTGTGCCATGGATACATGATGCTCTGTTAGCGTGTTTATGCTGCATGCACACAGCTGAGGGCTCAAGTCACATGGAACATCACACAAATGTACTTTTCTTGCATGCATGACATCACATTGAAGTGGAGCCTTTGTGGTCTCTTTCAATACATTATTTCACAAGAAAATGATAGCATACAAGTACATAAACCTAATTGTTATTACTGGCCTCAAGGGGAAGCCTTTCGATTTTACTCTGTTGGTATATTTATATGCCTATGGCATTAACAAATTAACTGAGTTGTGCTGTATACTTCTGTATTCAGAAATGCAGTTGTATGCATCCGGATTGTAGTTACTTTATAGGAGACAAGGAATGTAGTAGAACAGGGGTGTCGAACTCATTTGTTATGAGGGCCGGTTCTGACATAAGTGAGACCTTGTTGGGCCGGGCCATGTGTGTCATGAAATGTAATGCCAGGTAGCGGAGATATAAACTTTATAAAGGACACAAACACAAAGATTTTTTTTAACTTAAAATAAAAACGTGCTTAAAATAGCTCAGCTGCAAACCTACTTTTGATTTATTGTCATTCAGCACAGAAATCTCATGCTCAGAGTTCTGAGTCTAGGACCCAGGTTAAAACATGAAATGGCTGAGTGATTAAGAGAGTCTGGCGAAGCAAGCTATGATGCAGCAACAGCAGCAGAACTGGAAGCAGGAGATGGCCAGTTCCACTGTGGGCCTGATGGAAGCCCTCTGGGACCTGATCTAGCCCCCCGGCTGCATGTTTGACACCCCTGTATTAGATCTTTTTAAAAGCCTGCACTAAGTTTGCCTGTGACGTCAAGTTCATAAATATTCCACCTCCATTCAAAGATTTTCAGTGTCTGCTTTTATTGAAGTGGAATCTGCAAAATGGATTGGTATTGAAGCCTTGTCCCCTTAAAAATACAGTATGTGTTGAATCCCCTTCTCTTAGTGAGTATGCGTTTTCAGCTCTTGTGAACTGAATCACCTGTTATGCTAATAGTGTGTGTTGCCTTCCATTCCTCACAGTAGTTGACTTTTGTGCGATGGTAATACAGGGAAAATTGGTTTATGTCAAGCAAGTGCTAGGTTGATTTCAGCTTTGCAATGTTATGTTTGTATTTTTGCTCTCTCTTTTAGAGTAAAAGTGGGGTTCCTTTTATGCCTTGTCTCTACTGTTCATCTGTTCTCTCTTGCAATCAGAGTTTATCCTAGTGATGCAGTGGGCATGAGCTAAAATGATGCACATCAGGGTAGGGAATAAGGCAAAGAAAGGTTCAGAAAGTCAAGAGTCTTTTCCGCTTTGCATAACTCTTACTTGAAAACGTGGTGGCAGTAGTACCCACCCCAGCCCATATTTGTGTGTCTGCAGGTAGTGCTTACCTGGTTCGTCCCAGAAGTCTGAAACTACTCTGCAAACATTCCGCTTGTTGAAGACACTGAAAATCTTTCTGTTGTACCTTTGTAGGTGAATGAGAACTTTGCCATTGATTTGATTGCTGAGCAACCTGTGACTGAAGTAGAAGACAGAGTTGTCTCTTGTGATGGTGGTGGTGGAGCTTTGGGACATCCTCGAGTGTATATAAACTTGGTAATGCAGTTTTAATTTCCCACTCACAGTTGTACACTATTTCATTTGATGTCCTTTTGGGGGGTGAGGGAAGAAGAGAGCCCTTGGCAACAGCGGCTCTGGTCGGGCCTGCCCATCTAGTGACCCATGAAGGGCAGCCCAGCAGCCGGGCATGGATAGGGCTCAGTAAATCTTACAACATTCTTCTTTTCTCCATTTTATCCTCACAACAGCCCTGTAAGGTAGGTTAGATTGAGAGTGTGTGACTGGGCCAAGGTCACCCAGCGAGCTTCCATGGTGGCTTGGGGGATTTGAATGCGGGTCTCGCAGATTAAGACTGCTGGGGGAAAGATCAACAACCACAGATATGCAGACGATACCACTCTAATGGCAGAAAGTGAAGAGGACCTAAAGAGCCTCTTGCTTAGGGTAAAAGAGGAGAGCGCAAAAGTGGGCTTGAAGCTCAACATCAAAAAAACTAAGATCATGGCATCCGGCCCCATCGCTTGGCAAATAGAAGGGGAAGTCGTGGAAGTAGTGACAGACTTCACGTTCCTGGGATCCCAGATCACCGCAGACTGTGACAGCAGCCATGAAATTAAAAGACGCCTGCTACTTGGGAGGAAAGCGATGGCGAACCTAAACAGCATGATAAAAAGTAGAGACATCACCCTGCCAACAAAAGTCCGCATGGTCAAAGCAATGGTATTCCCAATAGTCATGTATGGCTGCGAGAGTTGGACTATAAGGAAGGCCAAGCGCCGAAGAATAGATTCTTTTGAACTATGGTGCTGGAGAAGACTCTTGAGAGTCCCTCGGACTGCAAGGAGATCAAATCAGTCAATCCTAAAAGAAATCAACCCTGACTGTTCCCTGGAAAGCCAGATAATGAAACTGAAGCTCAAATACTTTGGCCACCCAATGAGAAGGGAGCACTCCCTGGAGAAGACCCTGATGCTGGGAAAGATTGAAGGTCAAAGAAGACGGGGACGGCAAAGGATGAGAGGGTTAGACAGTGTCATAGATGCAACGAACATGAAACTCAGCCAATTTCAGAGGACGGCGGAAGACAGGAGGGCCTGGTGTGATCTGGTCCATGGGGTTGCGAAGAGTCGGACTCGACTGTGCGACTGAACAACAACTCGCAGATCCTAGCCTGACACTCTGGCCACTGCACCCTATGGGATTAATCATGATACCATTTAGAATAATACCTTCTTAGGTGGCATTTTAGAGATAGGAAATGTGCGTTTACTTCCTTCCCTTGCATTCAGTTCATATTGTATCAACCAATCTGCATTAATGTCAGTCTTGGCTCTCGTAGTTTCCCTTTAATTATTGCTTGTTAGAGCAGCTCACCTGTAAATTAGAATCTTTTGATGGCGTGTGTTGGGTAAATGGCTTTAATGGCTTATGACTTGTCAGCTGGCTGGTGTGGAAGAAGGAGAACATCACAGTGATCTCAGGTCTTGACAGTTCTGTGGGGTTTAATTGCTTTCTTCATAATGGGCAGAGAGCAGGAGAAGCAACTTGGTGAAAAATACGAAACTGATAGAAGTGTCTGTAAGGCGAGTAAAAGGCAGTTGTTGTGACTGTGCTTCAGTAGCAGCAGCTGCATATTTAGTTGCTTCAGCCCACTTTGGTAGAGGCAGGAAAAGAATTTTTTTTTATATGGGAACCTCCATGAAGCAGAATGATTCCTTTGTGTGCATGTTCAAGGGAGGGTGGGCCTCCCCCTTATAAATCACTATGATGATTTCCCTTCTCCCATGCCAGCTGGTCCTTGGGGAGTTCTTGTTGGTTTTTCATCAAAAAGGAACTTATTACAAGAGTCCTCTGATAGTTGGGGGGGGGATTTCCTGTTGCATCTACCATCCTATCATTATGCAACCATGGGAGCTTTTTGTGAGATTGGTCCAGAACCAATGGATTGAAATTAAATCAAAAGGATTTTTGGCTAAACACAACGAAGGACTTCCTTACAGCTAGAGTAGTTCTTGGTGGAACAGGCTTCCTTGGGCTGGCCTTCTTGGGAGGTTTTCAGACAGAGGCTAGATGGCCATCTGACAGTGATCCTGATTCTGTGAACTTGGGCAGATCACGAGAGGGAGGGCAGGGAGGGTTGCAGCCTCAGTGCTTGCCCCTTGTGGCCCTTTCTTACATGCCCAGGGGAATGTCGGTCACCATTTGGGGCCCGGAAGGAATTTTCCTCCAGGCCAGATTGTCCCAGGGATCCTGGAGATTTTTTGCCTTCCTCTGGGCATAGAGCAGGGGTCACTGGGAAACGGGGGGTGGGGGGTAGTTGTATGCTTCCTGCATTGTGCAGGGGCTTGGACTAGATGACCCTTGAAGTCATTTCCATCTCTGTGTTTCTGTCAATGTGAAAATCACACACAAAATCCACTTGTGCAGCTTGATCATGTCCCCGTGTTCTCAGGAGTAACTTCAGTGTGTCCAGAGTGTGTTTAGGAGAACACTTGGAAATGAGATTCACGGGAGTGACCAAATATTTGAATAAAAATGGGCAGGGTCTGGCTGCAGGTCATCATGCTGAGCAGATCTATGTTTTTGGTATGCAAACAGGTTTGTTTCATATACTGTAAATAAATTGCACTGAAGTTAGTGGGTAGTATTTTGTTGTGTAACATACTGTTTTTCCCCCTCCCCTTTTGCAGGACAAAGATACAAAAACGGGAACATGTGGCTATTGTGGACTTCAGTTTACGCAGAAGCACCATCACTGAAATTGTCATCTTGTGTCCTGCAGAGCTGTCTGCATTTATCTGTTATGCTGTCACATACATGTATTTAAAAAGGTGTTTCGAGTGTTATTTATTTAATCCTATCTTTTCCCCTCAGTGGGGAGTTTTGGTAGCTGGTAAAGAGCCCTGGAGCCAGCATGAAATAATATTTGCCTTGTCTTAGAGAATTGCCAGTCAGACTTCTACACCTGAAGATAAGGCAGTTGAGACCTACAGGAAGGTGGCAGTGAAAGGGACCTAGAGACCACGTTGAGCCCTGTGGTGCTGTTCATTGTGTCCAGTTAAAACTGCATTCACACTTCACAGCAAGCTTCAACTGAACCATGACTGGGCTTGAGTGCAGCTTTCCCCCTCATTTCTCCCTCTGTGCACAGAGCTTGATGGAGAATCTTTTCTGGTTTGATCAAGTTCCAGTTTGCCACAGTGCCTGTATTCAGGTGCCTCGGTGGCTTCGCTTAGTCACACTTCAGAATCACTTTGCCGGGAGTGAACCATTACCAGTTCATGGACTTTTTTTTGCCATCAAGTCACAGCTGACGTATGGTGACCTCGTAAGGTTTTCAAGGCAAGAGAGGTTCAGAGTGGGTTTGCTGCTGCCTGTCTCTGTGTGGCGACCCTGGATTTCCTTGGTGGGTTCCTATCCAAATACTGACCAGGACTGATTCTGCTTACAGATATAAACTGTATAAAGGACACAGGCAAACCCAACTAACGGCATTATTTTTATTCAAAATAGAAACATGCTTTTATTCAAAATAGAAACATGTTGAAATAGGGGGCCCAAAAGGAAACTTAACACTGGGAGTTTGTTATCGCCCACCAGATCAAAAGATAGAGGAGGATTATAAAATGATGAATGAATTAAAGTTAGCAGCTAGACAAAAACACTGTCGTAATAGGTGATTTTAACTACCCACACATTGCCTGGGTCAATATGTGTTCTAGTCGAGAAAAAGAGATTGAGTTTCAAGACACTCTAAATGACTGTGCTATGGAGCAGATGGTCACGGAGCCTACCAGGGGAGAGGCGATCCTTGATTTGGTCCTAAGTAACACTCAAGACCTGGTGAGAGATGTAAAAGTGATTGCACTGCTTGGGAACAGTGATCATAATGTTGTTGAGTTCAACATTTGTACAAATAGGAATTGGCCAAAAAGACTCACACAACCACTTTTAACTTTAAAAGGGGTAATTTCTCTGATATGAGGGGACATGTGGGGAGGAAACTGAAAGGAAAAGTAGAAAGGGTCAAAACCATTGGGGAAGCTTAGAAACTATTTAAAACTACGAACCTAGAAGCTAATATATATATATATATTCCGCAGGTTAGGAAAGGCACAAACAGGTATAGGAAAAAGCCTGCATGGTTAACAAACAAAGTAATGGAAGCTGTAAAAGGTAAAAAGGATTCCTTTAAGCAGTGGAAAGCTAGTTACAGTGAGGCTGATAAAATGGAACACAGGCTATGGCAAATAAAATGCAAGTCTGAGGTCAGGCAGGCAAAAAGGGAATATGAGGAGCATATAGCAAAAAACGTAAAAACCAACAATAAAACTTTCTTCAAATACATTAGAAACAGGAAACCAGCCAGGGAGGCAGTGGGGCCCTTGGACGACCAAGGGGTAAAAGGAGTATTGAAGGATGATAGGGAAATGGCTGAGAAGCTAAATGCATTTTTTGCCTCCGTCTTCACTGTGGAAGATGAGAAGTGCTTGCCCACTCCAGAACCACTGATTTCAGGAGGGGTGTTGGAAGACCTGAGTCAGATTGAGGTGATGAGAGAGGAGGTCCTAAAACTGATAGACAACTTAAAAACTGAAAAATCACCAGGCCCAGATGGCATACATCCGAGAGTTCTGAAAGAACTCAAATGTGAACTTGTAGATCTCCTGTGAAAAATATGTAATCTTTCCTTAAAATCTGCCTCCATTCCTGAGGACTGGAAGGTAGCTAATGTCACTCCCATCTTTAAAAAGGGTTCCAGAGGAGATCTGGGAAATTACAGGCCAGTCAGTCTAATGTCAATACCGGGTAAATTGGTGGAAACCATTATTAAGGAAAGGATTAGTAGGCACATAGATGAACAAAACCTATTAAGGCAGACTCAGCGTGGGTTCTGTAAGGGAAGATCTTGTCTCACTAACCTGTTAATGTTCTTTGAGGGGGTGAACAAACATGTGGACAAGGGGGATCCAATAGATATTGTTTACCTTGACTTCCAGAAAGCTTTTGATAAAGTTCCTCATCAAAGGCTCCTAAGTAAGCTCAAAGGGTTGGGACGGAGTGGTGTCACAGGCAGTAAAAAGCCTGCAGTAATTCATCAACAAACAGCCATAAAGGCTGTTTGAGTCCCACCGCAGCCGGGGTGAGCTCCCAGCCCTCGTCCTAGCTCCCGCCTACCCAGCGGTTCAAAAGCCTAGCAAGTAGATAAATGGTACCCGCCTAGGTGCAGGGGGGCGCCCACCGTCCGGTGTGGCTGCCGCAGCGAGGAGGAGCAAGGAGGAAGCGGCGGCGCCGGCGGCGCCGATGGGAAGCGAGGTGATCCGGCTGGAAACATGGCGGCGAAGCAACATCGGCCGAGCAAGCGTTCCGAGTGGGGCTGGTCCAGAGACGAGGCGACACGGTGACACAGCACAGCCGGAGCCAATCAGGACGGAGGCTAGTGCAGCAGTCGTCGCACAGTCGCGGACTGTGGAATCAGCCCAGAAGGAGCCGTTGCAAAGCCACACCGAGCCAGACTGCGCCGGAAAAAACATCACGCCGAGCCGGACCACGCCGGAAAGACACCGTAACAGAAGGGAAAAAGAAAGAAGAGCTGCAGAAGAACAACAAAAGCCAGCAGGGTGCCTGGTAGGCACTCACCTCCCCCATTCAGTGTGGCCCTAGCTAGGAAATATAAAATCTCTATGTAAACCGCTCAGAGCCTCCGCGATGGAGCGGTATAGAAATTGAAATAATAAATATCAATATAAAAATCATGGGATAAAAGGACAAGTCCTTTTATGCATCAAAAACTGGCTAATTAATAGAAAACAGAGAGTGAGTATAAATGGGCAATTTTCTCAGTGAAGGGTGGTAAGCAGTGGGGTACCGCAGGGATCAGTACTTGGTCCACTGCTTTTTAACTTGTTCATTAATGATTGGAGTTGGGAGTAAGCAGTGAAGTGGCTAAATTTGCGGATGATACAAAGTTGTTCAGGGTGGTGAAAACGAGAGGATTGTGAGGCACTCCAAAGGGATCTGTCAAAGATGGGCGAGTGGGCGTCAAAATGACAAATGGGGTTCAATGTGGCCAAGTGCAAGGTGATGCACATTGGAGCCAAAAATCCTAACTGTAAGTACACATTGATGGGGTCTGAACTGGCAGACACTGATCAAGAGAGAGATCTTGGAGTTGTAGTAGATGACTCACTGAAAATGTCGAGACAGTGTGTGACTGCAGTAAAGAAGGCCAATGCTATGCTGGGGATTATTAGGAAGGGTATTGAAAACAGATTAACACATGGAATTCCCTGCCACAGGAAGTGGTGGCGGCTACAAGCATGGACGGCTTCAAAAGGGAATTAGATAAGCATATGGATCAGAGGTCCATCAGTGGCTATTAGCCACAAGGTATAGATAGGGGCTCTGGGGCAAGTGATGCTCTGTCTTCTTGGTGCTTGGGGGGGTCAACAGTGGGAGGGCTTCTAATGTCCTGGCCGCACTGGTGGACCTCCTGATGGCACTTTGGCCTGATCCAACATTGGTGTCTCTTATGTTCTTATGTTAGCATTCAGTGTGCAGTTAAGGGCTCTTTCAAAAGTGATTGCCGCCGCTGTTCTCTGCTGCAGCTGCGACGCCCGCATGCACGGGGCGGGGCAAAATGTTCCCTTGCCTCCTTGAGCCCCGGGATGGTGGCCTTGGACTTCTAGGGGCAAATTCCACCTCTCGCGTGTGATGTCCGAGCGGCATCACACGCGAGAGGTCATTCTGGCTCCCCCAGCTCTCATTAGGGGCTCTTTAAACAGTTATGGCCGCCGGCGCTGTTCTCCGTGGCAGCTGAGATGCCCGCGCGGGGCGGGGCGAAACATTCCCTTGCCTCCCTGAGCCACGGGGTGGTGGCCTTGGACCCATAGGGACAAATTCCACCTCTCGCGTGTGATGTCCGAGCGGACATGTCCGAGCGGACATCACACGTGAGATGTCATTCTGGCTCCCCCAGCTGTCTTTAGGGGCTCTTAAAAAGTTATGGCCGCTGCTGCCGCCGCTTTCGGCGGCAGCTGCAATGGGCGGGACTGCTAAGCTGCCCTCCCCGCCTTTTTCAGGCTCTGTGCTGGAGCGCCGGGCCTGAAAAACGGCCTGCGGAGCCGCCCCCTCTTCCTTTTTCAGGCTCTGCGCTAGAATGCCGGCCTGAAAAAGGGCCAGCCAAATGTCAGTTTCGGCCCCATTATATCCTGTGGGCCATTGAAGTCAATGGTGAAAGCATAGGATATATTCTGGGGGCTGGAGGGGAGGGAGTTTGAGGGAGAGGCTCCAAACTCACAGGGTAGCTGCTGGAGCCTCTCCCCAAGATACCAACCAAGTTTGAAGAACATTGGACCAGGGGGTCCAATTTTACGGGCCCCCAAACAGGTTGCACCTATCCCCTCCATTGTTCTCTATGGTGGGAAAAAAGTAACTTTTAGTGATCACCTCTGGGAACCTCTTAGGGTAAGGCTCCTCTCTGCAAGTTGTAAGGCTTCAGGGGTAGGCGCTTCTAGGTAGCGACCAGTTTTGCTGGGCTGCCGGTCGTGAGCCAGCTGGGTGCCCTGCCTGTGAAAAGGGCAAGGAGGTTGGTCAGGGAGTGACGCCTGCCTTGGCTGTCCTGTGCTTGCTTAGTCGGTCCCTTGCCGCAAAGTTATGTTGAATAGTTTGTAAAATGGCCCTTGTTTACTTCCACACTGTTGTCTGTCTCGGTATTCTGACGGGGGGGGGGGGCAAATGACTGAAACTGTCAGGTGTTGCACGGTATGGCTAACCAAAGAACTTAGTCCACCCTGATGTTCCTCCTCCTCCCACCCCAAAAGCCGATAGTTG